AAAGTGAAATTTGACATAAGAATAAGATTTTTGAAAAGAATAATGAGTGAACACTTGCTCTATCAGATAGCAAAACAGATTAATTAAAACAACACAGTATCGATGTAGAAATATAAATATAGATCAGTTTTTATTTAATCTAATCAAGAGTCCATATGGATATGAAAGTATAATTAGAAGTATAATATATAATAAAGGTGGCATTTCAACTCAGTGGGTTAGGATGAATCATTAAATAATTGGTGTTGAGAGAGTTGGCTATCAATTTAGACCAAAAAATGAAAGACACTTAGCTCATATCATTCTTGGAAATAAATTCCAGATGGCTAAATTTTAGAAGAAATGTGGATAATATATACTATTTAAAAAGAATTAGGTACATCTATTTGCAGGGGTGCCATGTATCATTTTGAAGTTTGTGCTTTGCAAAGGCAATGCTGGCCCAGGAGTATAAATAGGGAATGACATCCAGCTTTGTCACTGCTTGTCAAGCTGACTGCCATAGTTCAGAAGGGGGTCTTTTCCTAATTTGTCTATTCAGGTAGGGAATCTATGTACTTTTGCCACCAGAACAGAGCACCTTTTCTAATTGGCACAAAAACCTTATCTTCCAGCAGTAACCAGTAAATAGTAGTTAATAGTAAATAGGTAATTTGTAGATACATAAATGCTTTTCTAAACACAAATGGTTGCTATAAACTGAACGTGTCCCTCTAAAATTCATATGTTGACGTCCTAACCCCCAATGTGATGGTGTTTGGAGATGAGGCCTTTGGGAAATAATTAAGTTTAGATGAGGTCATGCGGGTGGGTCCTCAGGATGGGATTCGTGTCTTTGTGAGAAGAGACACCAGAGAGCTACTGTCTCTCTCCCCACCTATGGGCACAAAGCAAGAAAGCACTTGTCTATAAGCCAGAAAGAGTTCTCCCCAGAAACTCACCATGCTGGCACCTTGATCTTGGACTTCAGTCTCCAGAACTGTGAGAAAATAAATTTCTGTTGTTTAAGCCACCAGTCTATGGTACTTCATTTGTTATGGCAGCTAGAGCTAATACAATAGTATTGTATAATAAAATGTATTGGGGTGTTTTTTTTTTTTTTTTTTGGTTTTTGTTCCTAAACTCTTTTTTTGTATAGGGACATAGAAAGAGTGTGTATGCATATGTATCAATAGACAACTGATAACAGAAGGGACTTCTAGAGAAGACACTGTATGAGAGTAGTGATCAGGGACACTTTTGCTTTAACCTCATGTTTTGTTTTTAATAAAAATGTCCTCATTATTACATGTTTTATCTAAAATATTAAAATGCTTAAATATTTTGAGAAAATATTGTTAGAAGGTATCTTATGTTTTAAAAATTCAATTGATAGTAATCACATATTTAATGTGTGCTACATTCAATACTTCTTTAATCCTTACAACACTCCTATGAAGTAGACACTAGATATGTCTTTATTGTACAGACAAAGAAATTTAAGCACAGGGAAGTTGAATAACACACCCAAAAGTCACATAGCTATAAAGAATAGAGCCAGGATTCTAATGTCAACAACCTGATTAAAGAACCTTCCCTCTTAGCTTCTCCAGCATGTTCCAAAAGAGAATAGGGCTTAGGAAATTAGGAGGTTAGTGAAAACTTTGGCAGAAACAATTTCAATAAAATAAAATAACTCTTAACTATATGAAACAAACTGAGGGTTGCTAGAGGGGAAGTGGGTGGGAGGATGGGGTAACTGGGTGATGGGCATTAAGGAGGGCACTTGATGGAATGAGCACTGGGTGTTATATGCAATGGATGAATCACTAAATTCTACCTCTGAAACCAATAATACACTATATGTTAATTAAATTTAATTTAGATAAATTAAATACAGATTATAACTGAGGGTGAAATACAGATTATAACTGAGAAGGAAAACATAATAAATAAAATGAATCGCTATATCTTTTTATGTTGAACCACATGAAACTGCCAATACTTAACTATTTCTGACCTGCAGAAATGGAATTTTCTTATGGTTTGACCTAATATATCTGCTAATTTATGAATATTGTTTTCAAGAAACTTAGAATTAAAAAACAGAAGAAAATAAACAAGAGAAAATTTTAAACCCTCAAGGCCATGTGTGTGTATTTTTAACAGATCTGGAAGCTGTTTCAAGCTTTTATTTTGATATTAAAAAAATGTGCCTCCAGTTAAAAAATTAAATATGAGGTTTGTGAACTGTATTTCAGTAGTAGAGAAAAAGCAATTAGCCAAATTTCTTAGTGTCAGGGTGGTTATAAAAGAACACAACTTCTGGTTCTTGCCAAAAGCAAAAGCTACCAGCAGTTTTTACATGTTGAACTCCATCTCCCTAAGTCACAGAATGAAGACATGCTTTCATCTACAACATTATCTGAAATTTTCTGGGAACTATTTCTTGATATATTATATTAGCCAGATATTTTAATGACCTTCCTCACTGATTTCGCATTGGCATGCAAGTACTGGATTCATAATTATCCAAATCTACAACATTTCACATGAGTTTAACATACAGATCATAGACCCCTAAAAGTTGATAGCTCACTTAGCCCTCAGAAGCTGCCCAGTTCAATTTTACAAAGAACAAAGCAGAGCCTCATAGAAGTTAAATGAATGGTTTTGGCCAATTCATACACTATTCCAAGAAGATTTAAGACTAAAACCTTGGTCCCCTGGTTCCTAGTCCTTAGTACTCTTTTTGCTATGTGTGATATGCCTATTTTTTCCTGTTATGTAATGCAGATTAATCTGATTTTCCTTCTCTTCTTTTCAACTGGAGTTCTGAGTCAGCTAATCTTGATAATTATTGGAACAGGAAGCAAAAGACTGAAATGGCTCTGTAATCAAAGAAACTCCCTGGCTATGAGGGGAGATTCTATTAGAAGCATGTCTGCTATATGCTGGGACCTCACATCTGTTCTGTTTTTCCCACCCCCTTTAATTCCTGTGGCTCTCTCTTGTTTCCCCAGCATAGCTTCAGACTATCCAAGCAGCCTTTGACCTACATCATTGTCTTGCTCTTTAGTGGGATTTTTGTCTCTGACCCATGGCATGACCTATCTACTGGTTTCCACTTTATCTTAGTTTGTGCTTATTTGGCTGGTTTCTCATTGGCTGTTTCACTTCTTAGCCTAGAGCCTTGGCTTTGCTGTATTCTCAGTTTTCTCCATAATAGATTAAAGTGAACTCTAAAATCCTGAGATACCTAGAAAATGATATAAATTTCATCCAGAAAATCCTTAGGAATTGCCTGGCATTTATGTGGAACTCCAGATTTACTCTGAAACCTTGGTGACTGGAGTTTGAGATAACTGTCCCATCCTTACAAAGGAAGCTTCCTAGATAAAAGTGAACCTCATTGTATAAAATGGTTATATCTTCCAAGGTTATGTATAAGTCTAAGGCGTAATTTTTATTTTGTATTTATTTTTTTTAAGATTTATTTATTTAGAGAGAAAGAGAGAGTGGGAAGAGTCAGAGGGAGAGAGAATATCCAAGCAGATTCCTGCTGAGTGTGGATCCCAACTTGGGGCTCGATCTCACAAACCATGAGATCAGGACCTGAGCCACTCAGGCACCCCTAAGTGGTAATTTTTAAATAGACTTAATTTTTAAAGTAGTTTTATGTTCACAGCAAAACTGAGCAGAAAGTACACAGTTCCAGGCAAGTTTATTTTTTTAAATTGACTAACAGTAAACTTATTGTGACTTCTGTTATGAAACAAAAGAGCTATTCTTAATTTATCTCTTGTGAAAATCTACTCAGAAGCTAGCTAAACTAGATAACTATGCCAGTTACCAATTTGTTGTCTGACACAATGTTAAGCTATGTCAGAAAGGGGTTCTGGAAAGATGCTGAAGGAGGGAGGGGCTTTCTTTCCTGGTTCCAGTGTTTACCCCTTCTTGCTCCTACCATATATCTGCCTGCTGCATGTGTGGGGAACTCCCAGTGGCACCTGTGCCCATGGAGTTCCAATGGCACCCAACGGTCAGTTTCCCATCAAATTTCAGAGGCACTCCCATGGTCAGATTCCCACTGAGTTTTGTAAGCATCCCAATGGTTGACTTCTAGCTTTGGCCTCCTACACTCGTGCAGGGTATTTCCCGCTTGCCCAGCGACTGTGAACTAGTTCTGGTTGAACCCATCTAAGAACTTCTCCACCATGCAGTGGGCCACAGCCACGCCTTCTACAATGAGGTCTGAGTCCTAAACTTGGAGCTGGGGGGTGGGGGTGGGGGCTTCCCTATTTGTTTCTTCTATGGGAAGCTTCCTTCAGCCCTGGGGTTTTCTTTAAAGTTCTCTTTATCTCTTTATATAACAGAGGTTTTCTATTAGAATTAGTAATTCTTTATCTTAAACTTTCCCTATTCAAATTACTGTGTTGTCTCTGTCTCCTCACTGACATTGATTGATATGGTAAACTTGGAAAAGTAATTTTAATTTCTCAGGATACTCATTCATAAAATGAGGACACTGGGTTAGTTGATCTCACATGTCCTTTTCAGCTCTAAAACTACACCATTCCAAGAAATCCTCTGTGTTTTCCTACATAGGGTGCACTCTAAGTATACTAAAATGAATCACATACGCTGTATAATTGTGCATTGTCTTCCCCAGCCACATTCATAGTAAATGGGTCTCCCTTCTTATCTGAATAATGGTTTCCTCCTTCTAGGTCAACATATTAAGTCACAGCAGCAGCCAGTATCATTTCATGCACACAGTGGGCAATCAAATACCATGAAATCATCTGTGAGGGTTTTAACTAGGAAGCTATCTAAGGAACTAAATGGCAATCTAGAGATTTGTGTATGAATATGAGAGACTGAAATACATAATAAGTATCATTTTATCTGTTTGTGAATATAAATACTGTAAGAACACATTAAGTGTAGAAAAATGCTCCCTCTGATACTGTTTACTCTAACCACCTCCATTACTATGCAATTTAGGATTTTTCTTTTACCTTTCTCTGTCTTTCACTGATTGTTCAGCCATTAATTTCTTCAGTTCTTCCAGACGCTGAAGATCTCTCATTTCCATTTCTTGCCACTTCTGCTCTTTTTTAGCCCTGTATTTTCTTATCTATAGAATAAATGATACATAAAATTTAAATTAACAACAGATATGTCAAAATGAGGAGAAAAGTTATAACAACATATCCACTGGTTCATATGTTTAAATTTAAATGGCACTTTATCTTTTTCATTTCTTAGATCTGCCTACAGTATATTGACAACAGAAAAAAAATAAATGAAAACATGAAGGTACAGGTCCTAAGAAACTGCATGGTTTAACAATTTCTGAAGTGGAAACGTAACTTATGCTGAGATCTAAAGTTTAAATCTATGGCTAAAATAATCGACTTTCAGGGAACCACAATAGAAGCATGTTATCTTCTCTAAAGTATATGATCTACCTGTTACTCAAGAATATTTTTATCCCCTTATGATAATGCAGTCTTTAACAAATATCATTAAACCTATTTTTACTTTAAAAGCATGAGTTTATTTATGCTAATGGACAGCAGGATGTTGAAAGCTTTATGCTTCTGGGGAAGTGGCAGGAGATAGGTGGGAGGAAGGAGGAGAAGAAAAAATTAGCAGGGTTCTGATATATAGTAGTTCTGACTTATGTGGTAAAATAAAGGACAAATTTATCAAGCTTGAAAAGGTGAGAGCATTCTTACTAGGCCTGTTTTACTTCCCTTCTCTGGAAATGGAGCCAGACTGAGAAAACTGAAAGTACTCATATGGATTTTCAGAGGGATGAAACCATTATTCAGGGTTCTCCTAGTTCCCCAGGTGGGGCAATTGAAGTTAATGTTTATTTGACAGAGGCCCCTTCAACCACTCTGGCTTGCCATGTTGTGTGTGATTCAAGAGACTGGATCTTGCTGGAAAAAGTAGAGTACCTCAGTGGTGGATGATAGTGAGTAACTGCCAGCAGAAGGTCTGTTGTGGAAGACAGGTTAGCCACACCCCTCTTTTGAGAAGTGAATATGAAAAGCTAAATGGTTTCCAGACTTCCCCTAGCCAACATAGTCTCTGACCCCTGGGACAACTAAAAGGAGCATCCCAAGCAACATGGCCACAGCCATAGCAACTCTGCTGCAGAGCCTACACCAGCAGCCACAATGGAGAGAGATGTCCACTCAATGAGTAGTGAATAACTGGATGAGCTCAAGGTGTAATGATTTCACTCTAGAGATCATTGAGATTTGAATTTGGGGAGGACAGAGATAAAGTTAGAAAGGTAGCAGCACCAAAGATGGAGAGTAAAAGAGAGGGTAGGAGAGGCAGAGAAAGAAAACATTGACAAGGTGTGTTTCAGGGTCTTAACTGATAAATTCCAGGGCATTCTATAGTGCCAGATATGACAATGTTAACAATGATTATATCCTCTCCCTCTGGGGTTTAAGTGGTCTTTATTTTATGCTTTATACTTTTCTGTGTTACCTTATGTTTTGCAATGAATATGTATTTCTTTCATGATCAGAGAAAATAAAGCTACTTCAAAGCTAAATTTTAAAGAAGAACAGATATTGGATTAAAGAGCATTTTCCCCTGGGCTCCAATAGACCAATGTTCGCTTATGCTCAGTGTTGGCCTTGAAGGGAAGTCAGTGGTTCTTTTGTCAACAAACCCTTGACTACAAGCAGACCAACCCCAGGTTGCTGGTGTCCTTGGATTGCAGACACTACTTGGTGCACTAGCCTCTGCAGGCTCTAGAAGTAAGTCACACCTGAGGCTTTTGGCATCTTGGGATCAATTATTTCCATTCCCAACACTCTGGTATCCTCAGACATTACTACAGTGTGAGCCTCTCTCTCTCTCTCTCTCTCTCTCCCTCCCTCTCTCTCTCTCTCTCTCTCCCTCTCTCTCTCTCTCTCCCTCTCTCTCCCTTTCCCTCTCTCCCTCCCTCATTCTCTTATGTGAGCATGATTTATTCTTTTTCAGTGCTTCCTACTGGACTCTCTGAAACCCCTGTGTCATCACACATAAAATCCTCTACATCTTAACCTTCAGACCACTACATCATTGTTTTGACTGGAATTCTCTTGAGTAAAGGATGATTATCTTCTGATGCCCCATGTTCCAGGAAGCTGGGGAATGGTTTGGGCATTTTCTTCCTTGTTAACAGCTACTTTTACACCACAATAATATTCCTCTCATGTACAATGTCTTCTTCCTTCGATGTTAACTGTATCTGTATCACTTTCTAGTCCTTATCACTGGCATGTATGGATTTCCAGGTCATTCCCAAATATTCATCAAGAATTCAGATAGGCGGGTCACAGCCACACAGGACTTGTTGTCCAAAACAACCCTTTCTACTTTCCTACACAGCTTCAGTATCTGCCTGAATGCCTCTCCAACCTACTCGTATCACAGTTTTATGACTTCCTCCATTCCAGGCAGCTACCTCTTCCCCCAGGATTCTATTATCATCAAGGACATTTCAGTTCCAATCTGAAATCTTCAATTATAGCCATCAGTTCTATGACCAGAAACTACCCACTTCTTTTCTATCATCCTGTGTTCTGATTGTATAATTTTATTCTTCTAGTAGCGCCTTCATCACAAGGCTTTGCTAATTAATATGCTTGTTTCTCTCCCCCACTAGACTTCAGAAATGTGATTTGTTTATTTTGGCACTTCCAACATCAACTAAAGGGTCTAGACCATAGTATATACCTAATAAATGTTTGATTGATGAATGAATTACACAATTATAGAAACTTGCACCAAATTTATGGTTTCAACTGAATCTTCATTGACAACCAGCATTCCTTTTATGAATTCCTGGTTAATGCCTCTGAATTTCTCATGGCTATATTTCAAAACCTGTTCACTATATTAAGCTCCATAAGTACCTCTCCTTCTTCACTTTTATCAGGAAAAAATGGGAGCTCTAAATGATACCTTCCTTGATGCCTTGACCCTCAGAAGAAGAGATATCTTTCCTTTGTACAAGATTTATCCCTTTCGGGCTCCAGATCCTAACTCCCCAATTCCATCTTCTCCATAACCTTACTCCATCATCTACCTCTCTTCGCCTTGTAAATTCAATCTCTTGGTCTATGCTGCTTCCTTCTCCTTACATGGAAATATGTACAAATCTCACCCATTTACAGAATTTAAAATAACTTTCTTTAGATTCCCAAGACTGTCCCTTCATTGTTCCCTTTTCAGTCAAGCATCTTAGAATACTTACTGTTCTTCAATTTCACATCTCCTAATTTATTCCTCATCCATGACATTCCTACCTCTTCCTTCCCTCCAAATTCACTACTCTCACCAGTGACATATAAATGAGCAAACTAAATGATCCTTTTCAATCCTTATTTTACATAATGTCTCTGTGCATTTAATTCTGTCAACCCTTATCTATAGTCTTAAGATATTACAGACTTTGGCACTCATTTGTTCAACAAATATTTATTGAACACATGCTTTAAGCCAGATACTGTGCTGTGTACTTGGGATATGATGCTTAAAGAGAAATAAGACCTCTGCTTCATAGAACTGCGACTTCTAGAGAGAGAGAAAGAATAAACACGTAAATGAATGAACAGAATATTACATGTGAAGTTCTAAGAAGGAAATAATTATAGTAATGATTTAGAAAAATTTGGGTAGAATTTTTATTAGAAGGCATATTTTTGTAATGACATTTGAATCAAAACTTGAAGGATGATTGTGAGACAATCATTGTGAGACAATGAGGGTGATCACCGCAGAAATGGGAGCTCTAGGTGCAAAAGCATTGAGTGGGAAAGACCTTGTGCATTTTCAGGACTGGGAAGAAGCCAGTGCAGCTGAGCATGTGGTGTGAGTTAAGAATGGAGGTGAGATTGAGAAGCTAGCTGGGGGCTATGTGATTAAACGAGGATTTAAGGTCTAGAAACAAGGAAAAGCTATTGAAGAATTTAAAGCAGGGAATGACATGATCTGACTTACATTTTTTTAAATAATTTTTTATTATTATGTTAATCACCATACATTACATCATTAGCTTTTGATGTAGTGTTCCATGATTCATTGTTTGTGCATAACACCCAGTGCTCCACGCAGAATGTGCCCTCTTTAATACCCATCACCAAGCTAACCCATCCCCCCACCCCGCTCCCCTCTAGAACCCTCAGTTTGTTTTTAAGAGTCCATCATCTCTCATGGTTCGTCTCTCCCTCCGACTTACTCCCCTGCATTCTTCCCCTCCTGCTATCTTCTTCTTTTTTTTTTCTTAACATATATTGCATTATTTGTTTCAAAAGTACAGATCTGTGATTCACCAGTCTTGTACAATTCACAGTACTCACCATAGCACATACCCTCCCCAATGTCTGTCACCCAGCCACCCAATCCCTCCCACCCCCCACCACTCCAGCAACCCTCAGTTTGTTTCCTGAGATTAAGAATTCCTCATATCAGTGAGGTCATATGATACATGTCTTTCTCTGATTGACTTATTTCACTCAGCATAACACCCTCCAGTTCCATCCACATCGTTGCGAATGGCAAGATCTCATTCCTTTTGATGGCTGCATAATATTCCATTGTGTATATATACCACATCTTCTTTATCCATTCATCTGTCGATGGACATCTTGGCTCTTTCCACAGTTTGGCTATTGTGGACATCGCTGCTATAAACATTGGGGTGCCCGTACCCCTTCGGATCCCTACATTTGTATCTTTGTGGTAAATACCCAGTAGTGCAATTGCTGGATCATATGGTAGCTCTATTTTCAACTGTTTGAGGAACCTCCATACTGTTTTCCAGGGTGGTTGCACCAAGTTGCATTCCCACCAACAGTGTAGGAGGGTTCCCCTTTCTCCACATCC